TGAGTGAACGTGAAAAATTTTACAGACACCGTGAGTGAGCGTGATTCACGATTGAAATTGTTCCCGTGAGTGTGAGTGAGCGTGAATAATATTTTTGTGGCCGTGAGTGAGCGTGAATGAAAATTTTCACTTTTACCATCACTAATCTAAACAAAGCGTAACAATTGTTTAGAAAGTAATGAAAATGCCTTCGAGGCTGAGCTCATACCTAACATTTAATGTATAAGATTATGTTTTTGAAATTTGTTGCCCAGAATTGAGACCAAAAATAGACTGCAAATAATTTGTATGTGTTGTTCAAAAACATCGAAAACATTATTTCATTCAGACTCTGTGTTATTTTGTATTAAATTTCTTTATAATTTCTATATCTGTCGTCCCATAAATGTAATGAATACTTGAATGAGAGAATCTTATTCCCAATATTTAATACCCTAATAGTAACACACATTTTCTGGTCTGAACTCAATTATATACTGTATTTACCATATATTTTTGCAGCAAAAAATAATAATGTAATATATAATGGTTTATAGTTTTAGAAGCGGTTGTCGTATAGAATAGCAATTCGTATACACATTAGGGCCTCGAATAACATAACCACTCCTTTACTGATAATGAGTGCCTGAATGGAGCGGAGTCTCCACTGGACTGATGGGCTGATGGGGACCTGAATTGGGCTCACATGCAGTTGCCTGGAAACTGGCATCCGATACAACCACTCACACCATACTATAGTCTATACCATTCATTCCTCGCCTTCTCTCTCACACAGACTTCTGTACCCATTCTTGAGAGTGGAGTGAAGTTTCACTTTTCCACAACTCAGACTTCAATTCCTCTACACTTGTTATGATTTCAGGCATTCCTTCACTTCTTTAACTCATTTTAAAAGCAGAGAAAAAAGCTTTGACTCAAAGTATTGAAGAAATAAAAACTATTCGTTTTGAAATAAAGTGCTTTTATATAAAAAATATAATGTTTTACTAATTTATTTGATTTATGAATTGAAAGAAAACAAAGTCATGAAGTTTTACAAACTAAACGGTAAGCGATTGTGAATCAATTTTATATCACTTTTTATATACGATTTTAAGCCTTTTTATTAGTTTTAAATAAAAACGATTTGAATTGAATTGAAATATTTGATTCAAGATTTGCTCCATATTTTCTATAATATAATCACATTTCATGAGATATAAGTTAAAGCAGTTTTGTATAAGTTATGTATTAATAACGAAATGCTTTTTTATTATTATTTATTAATTGTTTTATTTATTATTATTCAACGAAACCTGAATTTAAGCATATCTTATGTCTGTCTTAAAGATAAATTAATAAAGATATCGGATCTCGAAATACACCAAATAAATGGTTTATTCGAGTTTAGAGTTCTTATCAAAAGAAACCGAAAAATAGGTGTTTATTACTGTTTTGACTAAAACTCTAAAACATTTCATTTTTCTGCCCTAACCTTGAATTGTGTTTCAAATTCATTGCTTGTGTGTAAAAACTTTGGCACAAAAAAGTTTGTTAACACATAAACCCAATGTTTGAAGAATTGTTATACAATTTTTCAAACTTTTTGTTATCTCTCAAACAGATTTGCAGTTTTTCACAATAATTAATCTCAAACACGAATTAATAACTATATATTTATAAATATATATAAGTTATGATTAACTTATGAACTAAATTTTGACAAATTTTCCACTTTTTCTAAGTGTTTGCAAATATTATGCATTTTAATGCGGCGTTTATTTCTTCATTTTATAGCTAGTATTATATTATATTTAATCAAATGAACTCAAATCTAAAGTTATAATAAAATTAAGTAAATGAAAATCTCATTGAATTTCACATCACATACACGACAGAGATATTGAAGCGAAAATATATTCAAACAAATGATGCGTTAAATGCTCTTCAGATTTATTATAGATTCCGTAATAATCATGTAATTCAAGAGCTTTTAGTGTTTGTATTTCATAATGAGGTTTATTTATAGGCAGAAAAATCTAATCTTTTTCGTTCATTCGTATGCTTTTCGGAGTCAAATAATTTTAATGATAAATCGTGTGTTTATTATAAATATAACATCAAAACTACAATTGTATATAAAATGATTATTATTTTCAATTAATTAATCAAAAGTAAAACAAAATTATAAATCACTTTTAATAACAGAGATTTCAATTAACCCCATAAACAGCGTAAACAGTATTAATAAATAGTCTATGAATTACTACGAAAAATATGTGTAAAAGTATTTTATTTTCATTCAATTGCAATGTTTTCTCTTATTTCAATGTCATAATAATTTGAATAAAAGTTATTATATTACAAATTTATATCGCAATAAATAAATAAATTTGTTAATATGAATTTTTAAAAGCCCGTGGTTATAAAGAAATTATGCATTTTGTTTGTTAATTAATTAAAATATTTTAGTTTTCATGCATTTACTTCTCATAAAACACATAATTAGCAGAAAAATTCCTTTCATTTCAAGTTTAGTTTATTTGAATATTAATATAAATTCATAAATTTATTGTTAAATTTTAATATAAATATATTATTTGATAAAAATCTAAGCCATTGTTAGAAAAATAAAAACATTAAATTTGTTTAAATGAATATATTATTTATAAAATTAACCGCAAATATAGTTTCATAGGAATTACATAGTATTTGTTAGTAAATATTTTTTGCAATGAATTGATTTGAATGTCGATAATTCAGTGAACTTTTCCCCCATACCTAACCATTCAATAAAACTATTAATATTTGCAATTAAAATGTATCACAATTTGTTTGCTTTAGAATTTATAGTTTATCTCAACATATTTTGTATGGTTTGTACGGTTTGGGCGCAAACGACAAATAATGAACAAACGGGACACACATTGTCCGGAAATACCGATACCTTAACCCATGCTATCACACAAACGCCCAAACCTGCAGAATATGATACCACACATCATGAGAGTAAATAAATACTGTTATAATTTATATGCAATTTACTGTTAATTACATCAAATGTGTCTTATTTTAAAACCCAAATAAAACTAGATTCCAGTCCTTTACCGGAACTGATAACAATTCCTCCTGAGAGCTCACAGGGAGGTAAAGACATTACGACTCAGTCATCGATGGCTGAGACGACCAAAATAGATGATCATAAAGTAGTGACTGAAAGCCCAGAATCCGGAAGTTTGAGTTCCAGCGCAACAGACGCTAACAATAAATCAAATGATCCGCAAACCACTGCTTTCTCTGTCAATGAGTTGTTTAACACAAACATTAGCCCAAATCCAGTGGATGTCTCATCAAAGACACCGAAAACTATTAGCTTTGATGCAAACGAGGAGTTAATAAATTCTCAAACATCTACTAAAGAAAAAACATCTCACGAGACAACTGAATACACAATCGATACGTCATCCGAAGCGCATACCATCGCAAACAATCCAATTGATACTGTCGTTAAGATTATCACTACTACTGTCACACCGATTACTACTACGACTAGTGGCCAAACAACAACTAAATCCTTACATGAAATACAGACAACACAAGCAAGTGTCAGCTCAAGCACTACAACACCAGTAACTACAAGTGCAATGCCCAGAGAAACATCTCCTTCTTCTTCTACTACTACTACGACTACAACCCCTTCTCCAACACAACAAACCACAGAAGTGCCAAATAAGACAACTCTTATGACTACAAGTCAATCAAATTCAGACCATTTATATATTCCTACGATAACAATGCAAAGCGATAGCGAGTCCACACAATTGCACAATAGCTCGCATCACGACATCGCCACAGAATATCCATATCTTAATACATCTGATTTGCAAAGTTCTTCGGCACCCGAGACCACAACAGGCCATTCAAGTGAATCAGAAAGTAAAACACTACCAGATTTGTCGTCACTGTTTGCCAATATCACCGAAGAAATGACTTCACAGGCCATAGAAACAAAACCCACGGAATCACAAACAGTAACCCAATCGAGTGAAACTGTTAGACCTATAGAAACGAGTTCTACAACTCATTCACCAGAACCTAAAGTAAGCACAGAATCCATACAAACAACTATTTTTAGAGAAGAAACTGAACCAAAACAGACGACAGTAGTCGTAACACAATCACCGCAAACCACTCTCAAAATGATTGAACCAGAAGTGACCACACATTTGAGTCAACTAATGAATGTCAGTGAATCTCCCGAAGCCAATCAAACGCAACCCGTAGAAGAAAATCTTATACAAACCACTAAATCTGATCCAAGCCATGGCTCGGAATCGGCCCCATGGACTCATCCTCAGCCAACAGATCCAATGGATGCCATATCAACCGGTATTCCAGTACAGGTATATCTTCTGTCATTAATTTTGTGGCAAACTTATTAAAAATTGACTATTTTTATAGCCAAATATAAATACTTTAAAAGTGATTCTTCCGAATATAAAGCATCTAAATTACATCAACAAAGAAGATATGGTCAATACAGTTACCATTACTTTCACCACGAAAGCAGTGGAGGTTTGTATAACATTGCCTATAGTTTATACAGACATTAAAAAAACTCTTTTCAAACTAATATATTTATTGAAAGATCTATCGATGGGTTACCATATTTGACCAAAATTTCCGTAACTTCACCTGTAATTGCATCGATTCTGAAAGGAATTGGTGTTCAATCGATCGGGTAATATATGTTTCGCCGTCACCTCTGGTAATGAACAATCATCTCATTGTCAGCTTCTTTGTGAACGACGCTCCGGCCAATGAATGTAAGCATTGTTTTACATTCAAACATTGACTTATTAATGAATTTATATTTAATTTATATTCTGTGTTATATAATTAGCCAACACTTATCACGTATACGGAGGACCTATGGTTGTGGAAGCGCTCAAGAATTCAACAAAATCATTGGAAGAAATGGTAAGAAAACAAATCAATTGAATAACTCAAGAATGCATGTAAAGAATGTTTGAAATAACTATGAATATTGTGTCTCAGATGGGAATGGAAGTGCTAAGCCTTCAGACAAATATGGGAACAATTGTGGTGAAGCCGTTGGAGACGAGTTCTCACCGATTGGCCAAATTTGAGTTACTTGTGTTCATCTTCACAGTTGTAATGTTCATCTGTACAGTACTCCTATGTCTGGCCATAATCTGTTCGTGCGCTAAACGAAAGAGCGTTGATATGAATCAGGTCTGCCATTCATACCATTGCTTTACATTGCTATCAAATTACATGTCATGACTCCAATTGACGCTAACAAGTGTTTCATTCATTTCTCACACACACTCTCTCTGTGTGTGAAATGTGTTGAATTCCTACAACTCATTGAATTTAGTATTCAATTACAGATTCAACTCAATAAAGCCAATCGTCGCCAACAATCGATGGCTACAATCAATGGTTTTGACTTGAATTCTGCGTCCAATATATTGCGAGACGAAAACCATGAGAAACGTAATCACAATGTGATAAACCTGGAGGACGGATGGGTCGCACCTATTGATCATGTCATCGAAAATGAGAAAATTACTAAATATGATAATCTTCAGGACACTAAGTTGTAAATTACATTATAAATTATTATTATTTTCCAATTTATTAAAGCAATTATTACTAAAATTTTATCATTTATTAATTACAATCAATTATTCCACTTCTCAATTATACTGTATGTAGAAAAATGATTTTTACGATTATTCTAATCAATAAAGTTTTAATTTAATTACAATATATTTGTATTGTTTTATATGTTTTAAGTATTGAGTTGGCATTACTTTTAACGTTACATCAAATAGTTTTGATGATTAATTTGGATGGCATTTAGCATTTGGCAGTCAATTAGATAATTACAACAAATCTTATTGAAAAGTTATCAAAATATAACAGCAATATAGGTATTACACCGGTATTGCAAACAAGTTATTTAATAATCATAAACTCTTATAACATTGAATACAATTAGAAATTAAGTGAATTAACAAACGTATGGAATGTAATGAATCAACTTTTAGGGAGTTTTAATTAAATTAAATTAACGAAAGATTAATCAATTATATTCTTTGGATAATGTTGTCGACTATAATATCACTGAACGTCCACTTCTTGTGCCCATCACTTCTCAGTCCATTCATTTTCCTTCTTCAGTCTCTTTTCGACCTCTGGATCCAAATCGCACTCAATGTTCCACAGTTTGCGAACCTCTTCGGCCGACTTGCCGTCGATCTGTTTGGCCGCTATCTTACAATTAATTACAATCAATTATTCCACTTCTCAATTATACTGTATGTAGAAAAATGATTTTTACGATTATTCTAATCAATAAAGTTTTAATTTAATTACAATATATTTGTATTGTTTTATATGTTTTAAGCATTGAATTGGCATTACTTTTAACGTTACATCAAATAGTTTTGATGATTAATTTGTGTGCATTTTAGCTATTATTGGCAATCAATTAGATAATTACAGAAAATTTACTCAAAAGTTATCAAAATATAACAGCAATATATTGAAGAAATATGTAATAATCAAACTCTTATAACATTGAATACAATTATAAATTTAGTAAATTAACAAAACGTATGGAATGTAATGAATCAACTTTTAGGGAGTTTTAATTTAAATGAAAGATTAATCAATTATATTCTTTGGATAATGTCGTCGACTATAATATCACTGAAACGTCCACTTCTTGTGCCCATCATAAGAGTCAGGTAAGTAAAAGGAAGAAGTCAGAGAAAAGCTGGAGACCTAGGTTTAGCGTGAGTTACAAGGTGTCAAACGCTTGGAGAAGCCGGCTGAACGGCAGCTAGACAAACCGGCGATAGAATGAGCCAGTCTTCAGTAGACCTGACATCGCATTCACACAATTAGATCCCATATATCATAGACAATGCATAACACGATTGCAAACCTTCAATGTTGAGGAAATTGGCGGCCATTAAGAGCTCGAAGAAGGGCTCCCTTTCCATCTCGAAGTACTTGTTATCCCTTCGCAACTATAGAAGCCGTGTAAACCGCGTGCTCAGGAGCAACAGACTCAGCCTTAGGCTCAGGTCGCCCAGCAGCTTCACGAGCAGTTAGGTAAGGTCGTGAAACAGGTCTCAACGGCGGCTATATTGATGCAATGGAATCGCTTTCGTCACGTCTTCGGTGATCGCTTCCACCATATCTTCGATACACAAAACAGACAATTCGTGGACCAAATTGTGGTCAAAAGCGAAGACAAGACAAACGACACATACCTTTGATAGTGATAGACATTAACGCCTTTTTGCGGTCAATTTCGCGGATCTGGTCGTCCTTCGTCTTCAGCTTAATGGTGGTCGCGATCGCCGCCACATCGCTATCGCCAGACATGTCTTCGTGTGGTGTAATGTCTTAAGACTCGTGAGGTTTGTGTCAATGAAAGTGTGGTTCGACTCAAAGACAGTCTCTTTTGGAAAACGTTTTTCAAATGAATCGCATCTGAAATGCGCTGCGAATAGAGGTCTTCACAACCGGTAGAGGTCTCTGCACTTGTAGTGTATGTCTCAACACGTGCTTACAGTTTGTGACAAACATTTGATTCAATACTCAACACAATTGTAGTGACAGTCAGTGAACGAGCGGTACGTTTGGTTTGACATCACTTGTGGTTATATCGGATCTGAAGACTGAAGA